CCTAGAATACCATGCTAATGAAACATTCTGCAGAATGATCAACAAAGCTGAGCAAATCAAATTTATTTATGACCTACTTGTCGTCTTCCGCAAATAATATTCAGTGAAAATTTTTGACAAAGTTCTTTAGGATTCGTTTAGCAGCAATTTCAGTATATTATCAATGCATTCCCTTATAAGTATAACATATCATGATGTTGTGTCTCAACCGGTAGCCATCAACACGACTAAAATGTTGTTTCAGTCATCGTTGAGTCAAGCAGAAAAGAGTAAACTTGGAATCGGGAAGGAGTGAATGTTGTCTATATCTTACATCTTCATACGAGTCTAACTGAAACCTATACCTGAGTTCATTCAGGCTTACGCGGTTACTTGCCATCCGCGGAGAATACAAGTCACCGAACGTTACCGGATAAGATAATTCGTTCTTGCATGGCTGGTAGTTCTTGAATAATGCCACCTGTTTAAAGAATTCCCTCTATTTTGAAAATCACTGAAGCGGTTCGGTAAAGCTTGGCTACTTTTTAGTCTCTGGCAAGAACAACAAGTGGACACGCTGAAAATTGAAATGTAGGATGTTTTGCAATTTTGCAGCGAATCCCTGCATCGTGTACATAAAAACAATGGAACAACAAAAAACTTGCATTGTTTTGTTCCCGCATGTTTAAGAGCCGCAAAGTTCTTTGCTGTCTCCATAGTGTACCGAGAATATTCCTTATTTCCGGTACTAAGGAAAGTTTCGCGGCAAATCTGGTTGTTACCGCATACCGGCTTGATCACTTCCTCATTGGAATAAAATTCACTAAGACGACGAAATGCATTAGAGGCCATAGGCTCAGCGCGCATAAAGAGCAACAAGTTGCTCAACGGTCGAGAGGATTCTCGAAAGAGCACTGGACCAATGCGGTCACTGGAGCCATCCAGTCGCCCTGAAAACATTTATCTACAGTTCATTGACTCATGCTGAAGAAGTTAATATACAATCTTCAAAAGGCTTATTTCCTTCTGCTTGTTGCTGCTCGCCTTCGTCGGAGATTTTCCCTTTGACGAAAGCTTCCTCCAATATCCCGTTATGGATATCGAGTAGTCCGGAGCTGCGTAGCTGTTTTCCCGTGTCCTTCTTTGAATAAAGTTTAGAATTTGAAACAATAAAAATTATTTTTATTACACTGACAGTGCGGTACGAATTCGGAATGACAACCATGACATCTAGGGCACCGCTGTGTTCCGACACCCTGATGCCAACTCCACTGGCGAACTGAATGTATAGCAACGATTGGTCATAGTTCCTTGCCGGGCTGTGAATATTGAATCCTGAAATTTTGATTTTAAATTTGCCTCCTTTAGCCAGCGTTGCTTACCTCGAAACTGTTGAAACTTCAGATCAAAGGCATCAAAAAACCGTG